TAATATAACTAATATTTGTACATTACATTAAATTATATATTTTTATATTTTTAATAAAGAAATATTTCTTAAAACAATTATTTCAGTGTTGGAGTTTATAAAAATGGAAGAACAGAAATTATAGCCAATGATCAAGGAAATAGAATTACACCTTCCTATGTGGCATTTACTGTTGATGGTGAACGTTTAATTGGAGATGCTGCAAAGAATCAGTTGACTACAAATCCTGAGAATACAGTTTTTGATGCTAAACGATTAATTGGTAGAGAATGGTCAGATCCCACTGTGCAACGTGATATCAAGTTCTTCCCATTTAATGTAATTGAAAAAAATAATAAACCACATATAAAAGTGGTCATCAATGGTGAAGAGAAAGTATTTGCACCTGAAGAAATTTCTGCTATGGTGCTTGGTAAAATGAAGGAAACAGCAGAAGCATACTTGGGTAAAAAAGTTACTCATGCTGTTGTCACTGTACCTGCCTATTTCAATGATGCACAAAGACAAGTAAATATAAAATATGTACTTTAAAACACAAATAAGATTCCACTTTGAAAATATTTGCTAAGTAACCGATGATTCTTATTTAGGCTACTAAAGATGCAGGCACTATTTCTGGACTTGTTGTCATGAGAATTATTAATGAACCTACTGCTGCTGCAATTGCTTATGGTTTAGATAAAAAGGATGGAGAAAAAAATGTGTTAGTTTTTGATCTGGGTGGTGGTACTTTTGATGTCAGTTTGCTTACAATTGATAATGGGGTGTTTGAAGTGGTAGCAACAAATGGTGATACTCATTTGGGTGGTGAAGATTTTGATCAACGTGTGATGGATCATTTTACAAAACTATACAAGAAGAAGAAAGGCAAGGATATTCGTAAGGATAATAGAGCTTTACAAAAATTACGTCGCGAAGTTGAGAAAGCTAAAAGGGCACTCAGTGTTAGCCATCAAGTATGTTTCACCATTCTTTTCATATTTGCTTTATGTCAAAATAACTTAGTAATAATATATATATTTTATAAATATGTATAATATATGTATAATTTATGTATCTTTATTTCATTATAGGTAAGAATTGAAATTGAATCATTCTTTGAAGGTGAAGATTTTTCTGAAACTTTGACACGTGCCAAATTTGAAGAGTTGAACATGGATCTTTTCCGTAGTACCTTGAAACCTGTACAGAAAGTTTTAGATGATTCTGATATGAATAAGAAAGATGTAGATGAAATCGTACTTGTTGGAGGTTCTACTAGAATTCCTAAAGTTCAACAATTAGTTAAGGAATTTTTTGGTGGTAAAGAATTATCGCGAGGTATTAATCCTGATGAAGCTGTCGCGTATGGTGCTGCTGTACAAGCAGGTGTCCTTTCTGGGGAACAAGATACAGATGCTATTGTACTTTTGGATGTCAATCCACTTACTATGGGCATTGAAACTGTTGGAGGTGTAATGACTAAACTTATTCCAAGGTAAAAAAAATGCGTTTTTCTTGTTTTGCTAATTACTTACAATGATATTATTTATGGAAGTAAATAAATGCACGTGCATTTGTTCGTAGGAATACTGTGATTCCAACCAAGAAGTCACAAATTTTCTCTACTGCGTCAGATAACCAACATACAGTAACCATTCAAGTATATGAAGGTGAACGTCCTATGACAAAAGACAATCATCTTCTTGGAAAATTTGATCTTACTGGCATTCCACCAGCACCGCGAGGAATACCACAAATTGAAGTTACCTTCGAAATTGATGCGAATGGTATTCTTCAAGTATCTGCTGAGGATAAAGGAACCGGAAATCGGGAAAAAATTGTTATTACCAATGATCAGAATCGCCTTACTCCTGATGATATAGAAAGGATGATAAAAGATGCAGAGAAATTTGCGGATGACGATAAGAAATTAAAAGAACGAGTAGAAGCACGTAACGAACTCGAATCATATGCATATTCTTTGAAAAATCAACTGGCAGATAAGGAGAAACTTGGTTCAAAAGTTAGCGATTCCGATAAAACCAAGATGGAAGAAGCTATTGAAGAAAAAATTAAATGGTTAGAAGAAAATGCAGATACTGATCCAGAAGAATATATGAAACAAAAGAAAGAGCTTACAGATATCGTTCAGCCCATTATTGCTAAATTATATCAGGGTGCAGGTGGTGGAGTCCCACAAACTGGTGGAGATGATGAAGATCTAAAAGACGAACTTTAACTACAAAACGATCAGTACTTATATTCGTCCTAATTTAGACTGAATTAACAGTCTCATGCAAATGTGCAGAGATTAATAGGTCGTTGATACGTCGAATATAAAAGACTGATCGACGAACGTCTGTTATTCATTAAGTTTCGCCAGAAGTAAACAATACACGGCTGTGGAGATTACTCTGTGTATTATTCTGTAGTGTATTTGTCATAAGTCATCTTGATCTTCTTGATAAAAAAAAACATCTAATGGAAGAAATTTTATTACTGAAAGTAGCTTCACTAGTTTTCAAATAAGACTCTGCGCGTTAATTTATTTTAATTAATTATTTTATATGTTTCGTTACATATAATCGAATAAGTAGTTGCGTTACTTTACAAACTTTGTAATGTGTGTGCGAATTAGAGTGAATGTGCATGTATGATTTGCATATATTACTGCCCGTAGAAAAACTATATCGTACTGTGTACAATATAGTTATTCTGTGTGAATGGTTGTCATATGTATCAGTATCACGAAAATAAACATTTTTTCAGTAAATCGTAGTAGAAATTTTCCTTTTAATTATAATGTACTAGGTGTTTGAAAATTAAAAATATATCCTAGAAATGGATTTGGAATAAACTTTATTCAAAGATATGATTTAATTTTATAACAAAAATACTTAAAAACTCATAGACAGATTAATTTTCTATGGATTTAAATGCTTACTGTGTCTATTTTATCGAAATACAATATTAACAGATGTAATAATAATTAACATACTCTTTTGTATAATTTCCTAATATTTTTGCTTAATGAAGCAATTCGGTCATTAAATACCTTTTTCGCACCCTACAGATTATTTAGGTACAAAAATAACGTTGAAATCCCGTAACAATTTTCTATAGTAGAATCTTGCGGTAAATTTCCTATAGCCCATTTTTTACAGCATAGATTTTAGTTTTATAATTTAGAAAAGTAACTATATTAAATACAGGATTAAAAAGTAGTAATACTATTCTCGATTAACAAACGCAATCACACAAAATAAGAGATGTCATATCTCTCGCATATAATTGATTAGTGTAAAAACATAGTATTGTACATTAGCGATTTTATTTCTTCTATTTACCGATATATATATATATATATCGAAATCAATACCTATGTATGAATGAAATAGATATTATTATCGAAATGAGTAATAAATAACTGACAATTATACATATTAAAAAATATTGAGTGACTGTCTACCTTACAAGTTTAGAGTACTTTTCCTCCTTTATAAAAAAAAAGTATGATTGAAAAGTAGACATTCTGTATAACTCACGAATTAAATATTCAATTTTTGTAAGCATGATTAGTGCAATTCTATTATGAATCCATTAATATATTTGAAATATAAACAAGATATTTTGTTTTTTTTCTTTTTTGTATAATTTGTATAATTATCAAATTTGAGTTCTTTAACATTCCTTCAAAAAGGTTTATAAGTTGTAAATATTGAGCATTTTTTTGCGGATTATTGAAAATTTAAAAATGCACTAAAAATGCAGTACAGTTTTTTTTCTTGAATCTCATAATACTAAGGAACATGTCATTACACTTTATGTGTATTTGGAGACTCTGATAATTAATATTTATCAATTATGTGTAAAATATTTATATGAATACGCATTCATAAAATAAATATTTGTGCTTCCTGGTAAAAATTAAATGTTTTAAATCAAAACACCAATTTTTTATAAGGAAGCTACGTAACTCTTCCGTTTAAATAAGAAATATGTAACGCAATCAGTATAATATTGTGTATACTTGATTTATCTTGATTGACATTATATTATTTATTATAAAATCAAAGCTTTTTTTATTTTCTTTTTTTATTTTATAGTAAATATCTTTTTTTTCTTTTTAATTAGCATAAACACATCTAAGTGTTCATAAAGCGCAAGTATACTCTGCTTCAGGTAGCATTCGCTATTCTTGCCCTGTGATACTTTCCACTTCTGTTTTTTTCTTTTTTTTTTCTTTTTAACATTTCGGATGTATTCTTACAGTAGACAATGAATATGTCTAGTTTACACAATACGATCGAAAAGAAATCTTTTTCATAATTTCATTAAAAGCGTTAAAAAAGATTGAAATATTTTTTTCTTATAATTATTACTGTAAATTGCAGTACCATTACTATGTTAATTAAAGATCAGAAATTAAAGATAAAAATAATACAAAAATGACAGTCATAATATGTAATTTAAGATCATTTTTAAATTTATTCATTTCTCTTCGATAGTTAGATAAAAACACGCGTAATAAACTATGTTGCAAAATATCAATGAATACAATAAGCTGCATATATACATGTAGCGTACGTTCTATTATTCTTAACGAGAAAATTGTAAAAAGATGCGCGATTACTAAAATATTTTTCTATTTTTATATTGATTTTATGAAAAAAATGCGCTTTTTTCTCTTTACAAGATGATACAATTTAATTGTATATTAGGTATAATCTTTTCAAGTGTAATATAGAACTTTAAGCATGCCATTTGAAAAAAATTTATCTAAAAATATTATCTTTAATAACTAATAATTTATAAAATTTTCTATAAAGTGTCACATATCTATGGTTAAAAATAACATGATGAATTTTTTTTTTAAATTTGACTTTCTATAATAATTATTTTTTATATTATGAAACATGATTTTGTTCAAATTCTTTTTTTCTTTGTACAAGAAACTAAAATGTTGCTATAGTTCACATATTTATATGTATTAAAATTAATAATGTATAATTAATATCATGAATATTTAAGCACTTAATTTAAATGTTTGTCAAACCTGAGAATCCATCTATGTACTTTTTAGCAACATTTCTTAAGAAGAACTTACTTCTCACTTTCAAAACCAATGGACTATATAAAAGTAATTCAAGGATCGAAATAAAATCAAAGGTATCTCTAAATACCATATTTTTAAAATAAAAATTGATATGGTAATAAGTATAGATACTAATCAACACATGAAATAGATACATGGTGTGCCTCTGGATATAATTACTTACTTTTTCACCTAGTTTGAACAATAACAATGTATCTGTATCACAGTAATATATTAGTAGTGTATTTAGTATTTGTCGTATTTACTTTGGATATGGCAAATATGAAATATAACAGTAAAATTATACTAATATAAATCTATATTCTTTGGGGCTAAATGCATATCACAGTGAGAAATTTTTCAACATTTTATTCTTTTTTAAATTCTTATTGGAATTTCCAGAGGCACACCAGACTTATTAAAAATATTATAGAAAGTTTTACCGCCAACCAGTGGAAATAAACAGGCAATACTAAAGTAAAAGTATTTTTATCATTAGTTAAAAATGCACCTTATGTTATTTAAAACACTTATTTTGTATCTAATATACAGTCTTATTCTAATTTTTTTAGCTGCACAATTAACTTTATCAAATCAAAAGTGATAAATTAAACATGTACCTGTTTTTTAAATGACATAAGGTGGTCCATGTCCTCTGAAACATTTTCGTTTATATAACCAATTGATTGATCACAAATGTATCACATTCATTTACATATTTGTCAATTGTTGATTCATTTATGAATGTGTTATTCTTTGAGACGAATATTTACAAAATTTATTGGACCACTCTCTAAAAATAAATAAAGTTACTATCAAAGATTATACAGCTTATCTTAAACAGTAAAAACATGCAGCAGATATTTAATAATGTTGATGTGTTAGTATTAATATGAGATAATTATAGGGTTAAGTAATGAATAATAATTTAGTACCGCATCATTCATTTTCACGTTATATCAAATTCAAATAGATAAAAGAAAAACATAAATTTCTAAACTATATCTTGTACTAAACTGATCAATATTATACCTCCAACTACTGACACAGAGTTTAAGTGACTCTGCATGATACATTTCCTCATCTAATTGATATCTTTTCATTAACTCGTATAAGTTGTATTTGTTCCTACATAACAATTAATATAATATTTATTTTCTAAATATTTAATAGTAGTACCTTTTTTAGTCAGTAGTTAAAAGTAAATATGACGTCAGTATAGAAGAAAACCCTTCAAATTATATAATTTTTTTAATGATTTCAGACCTAATTTCAATTATTTTATAGATTTGATTGAATCAATAAATGATCTGACTACCATAAGTATCAGACTAATAACATTTACAGATTATTAGAAACTATTTTGTAAATCAGAGTTTAGTAATTTAAGTATTCTGAAGTGAATTTCTTAATTGACGATCTCGTGAAAATTATATTAGATTATCTGTTTATAAATAAAATTAATGTCATTTTAAAAGCGTAAGAATTGATTAACTAGTACTGCTTGCCAAAGAAGTAATTGCTGTGTATGTAGTAACTAAAACAGAGACTTTGCGAAAGCCTGTATAACTACAGGAACACTAGCATCAAAGCCATTAATTGTCAAAATACTTTTGTTGCTTTTCTGTTTACGATAAGTTGATGAAGAACACACAGCACAATTTATTAATCTGAAAGTAAGTAGATAATATTTAATGGATAGTAAATAATTTAAAAAAATATATATATAATTTAATGAAACTCACTTTGTATTTGTAAGTTGAAGTTTTGCTTTATATGCCTGAAGCGCTTCTTCAGATGTATCAAATTTTTCAAATATTTGGTCTACCACATTAATAAATACATCATATTTATTGTTCTCATGAGCAGCCCATGACATTGGTTTATTCAAGTTTACATGTCCAGTAGGCATTTGTTTTAATTCTCTCATAGCCTGACCAAAAGAAGTTTTTTCAAAGTTTACAATATGAATTCCACTATTCTTAAATGTAGCAATGGTGACATTCTTCTCACTATGAAGAAGTGCAAGTGCAATTATGCATCCTGCTTCTGCACCAGTCATATTACCGCTACGCCAAGTATGAGTTTCTACCATTGTTTTATTCATATTAATTGTTACCATGTAACGCAAACCAGTTGGTTGAATATGCTAAATAAAAAATGCTAGTATAGTAGATGTATGTAGATAAATACTTTATAACCATATTTATACTTACAAGAAATGATATATTCAACATTTTATAGAGAGCATCAATAATTTTAGAATTTGGTTTGGATGGTGTAGGTAATGGTTTGTCAAGCTGTTCTTTGATTTTCCTTTTTTCATATGTTAATGGTCTTAAAAAAATAGATATTGAATAATATTAATACTATATAGGAAAAATTACTAAAAACTACCCAATATTATTACTTACTTTCCAGAATTTTCATAGTCTCTTATTGTAACTAATACCAAAGCTGGATGAACCTTATCTTGGACAATATTATCTTCATTAGTAATTTTATCTATTATTTTGGAAACTGTTGGTGAAAATGGTTTCAATAATTTAAGATTATGTATTCTTTGCAAGTTGGTCAGAAGCATAATTAAATTCATTGATGGTATTAATGCATCCCAAACCTATAAATTATTCACAATTATAAACTATGTGTACTAAATTGAAGAATTTTTATTATCTTTTGGTATTTGTACCTCTTTAGATTTCAATAAGTGTCCAGGTACATGATCTAATGTTAATTTGTACATCTCTAAAAGACGTGCAGCTTGAACTTCATCTGTACAGTGTTTGAAGTCTTCTACATGTTCAATATATTCTAGAATTTCTGTAAGCATAGGATCTTCTGTACATGACTTTTTCATTCCTTTTAGACCATGTATTATATATTTAAGGACCATTTCTCCCCCTATTTAACAATATTCTATTTAATTAATAATAACTGCTTATATAATAAATAAATAATAGTAAGATATTTTAATAAAATAAATACCAGGATTATTGGGTATAGGATGAGATAATTTTATAATATCTTTATGCTTCCAACCATATCTGCCTTTGTATCTTGTAACACACTTTGCTAATTCCATTGGTGTTTTTGAGAAATACCAATTATTTACAGCTTTCCTTAAACCATGACCCCAACCATGTCTTGAACTACCATTTGCATCAAGTTCTCTTTGCTTACTTATTTGAGAAGCAAATTTGATAAATAAAATAAAATGTTGTGGTGATACACAAATTTTGTTCAATACTGCATATGCCGCATGCCTTAAGCTTTCACTTTTCATTTGTCTACAGCAAACAGCAGTAGCAAATATCAATGTTTCTGGATTTGGAATTAAATTACTTTCAAATGCCTATAAAAAATAAACTATTTTAAATTGTCAACATATACCATTTATGAATAATTAATTCTAATGTGTATAATAAGATTTTACCTTTACAATAATCTCAATCGGTAATAATTGTTTTTCTGCATTTTCAGCCAATTCTTCGATAGATGGAACATTTTTAGCCAAAAAATAATTATGAACAAACCAATTTCCAGGTTGATAATCAGGATATTCTTTTCCAACATAAAGAAATTGTGCCAATCGTACTATAGGATCATTTGAATCCAAATCCATTGCCATTTCTCAATACACAATACTATAAAATATAATACATAAATTTAAATGGAATGTAAAGCATGATTTTTATATTATTTTAACAAAACTTTGAAGCTTTTAATTAATAATTAATATGTCTTACATACTTAGTTACATAATAGTTATCTATTAACAAAATATAAAAAAAATATATGCACTAAGTGACTATTAATAATTTTATGTTTAAAAAAATTATATGTGATCAATTTTAAAATGACCACCAAATATGTTTGGAATGTTATTTAGAAGTACGTATATATAACTTTATTTAAATATATATGTCTCTAAGATTTCATACATGTACAATATAATCTCTTTTAAATTTAAATCAAGTACTCATAAACTTTTATAAGAAACTACTAAAAATTAAATTTTATTCATGTGCAATGAATAATGGAACATAGTAACAGGTATCATCGAATGACCTGATAAGGTAATATGAAAATATATATGTTATTATAGTACAGCATACTTGACTTTAACAAATTTTACCAATATGATATTTATATGATTGTAAAAAATTTACAAAATATTGAAATATCAATATGTACATTTAAATTGTACCTGGTGTTAATCGAAAGAGGAACAATTCGAAACACAACCATACGGGACGATGTTCTATGACGTACAAAAACGTACTGACGGAAGAAGTTATGCGGTCCGTGTATATCTTGGGTCAAGTATAAAATACGAAAGCTCATTGACCTTTAGAAAATTGTAGATATTTTAATAAAATAGAATTTTTTGTACAATAAAAAATGAGATTTTTTGCTTGAACAATTTCTTTGTCGATTGTGTTAATTTATTTTTATATTATTAAATATTTTTCAAATATTTTTTTTACTACAATTTCTATATTTGCACAAAACAATGATGAATATTCACTGTATGTACGCACAAATAATATTTATTTGGTTACTAGTTTTCGAAATTATAAATTTAAAATAGCGTAACATGAAAGTAAAATAAAAATAGTTTCATTTTCCATTTACCGATTTTGAATATTTGCATAATATTTTTTAATATTTTTTTAAACGCAGAATGATTTATTATTCTTCGTTTTAACATAATATATATTTTACAATTTGCTCTATATTATTTATTCGATACCAATTTTGTTAGTAAACATAAATATTCTTCAAAATGGAATAATAATTTTATCATGTACGCATAACATTATAATGATTTGAAGCAGTATATGGCGGTTTTTGAAGAATAACAAGTTTGAATGCTACCAAGAAATTGTCATTTCCTATAGGGTATTTCTAGTTAGACTTACTATTTAGTAAAATTTATTTTGTTATAAATAAAAAATAGTCATTGTTTTAAGTTGGTAGTTGGTTTGTTGGTATTTCAAAGGCTTGACTAGTAATACTTTCGAAAAAGTAATGTCAGTACGCCGGCCATGGCGGAGTGGTTGCAGTTGAAAATTGTTCGTTTTGGCGAACTAAGTAGCATAGAAGAAAGAAAGGATATTTTATCTGAAATAAAAATTAAATTGGGAAATTTAAACAATAGAGAAAGTGAACAAATCGCTCGTAATGTGGATTTTAGTCAATTGTTTAATCACTTAACCTCGATTGACAGGTATCATAACAATATTGATTTTCTGATATACAATCAATACAATCTTTAATAACGCTTAATATTTCTTTTTAATTTTTATATATTTGTTGATTGATGATTATAAATATGTTATAAATAACAATCTGCCTTTCTGCTATATAATGCATTATAATATTAATTAATGCAGTAGTAGAAGAACATTCAAAAATTAAATATTTGTAAAATATTTATTACTTTTTCTCTTACAGAGAATTTGTAGATCAAGTATGTGACATTTTGAAGGCATTGTTTGGCATTTTAGAACCCGAAGATGTATATGAAAGATATTCAACAGAAATATCTCAATTGATAATTCATCCAGCTGCTGTAGTTAGGTCACTTGTGTTACATGAAATTTTATGTATTGTTTCCGATCCTTCAAAAATACCTCTAATACTTAGAGATGTCAGTTTAATGGTGGCTATCATAAATAAAATTGGGGATGATAATTTAATGGTAGCTAAATGTGCAATGTGTATAATGAAAGAAATTGGTAAAAATTCAAATGGATTACAAATTTTATATACAGGTGAACCATTAAGAAGTTTTGCTAGATTATTAGCAAAGAATGATACTATTAGTTTTCGTATATATGAAGTTATTGTGGATATAGCAAAATCTTCAAAAGAAGGTTTAGAAGCATCTGCTCAATCAGGATTTTTAAATAGTTTATTTGATACTCTTGAAAGTGAAGATATATTACTACAAGTAAATGCATTAGAAATTTTAACCCAATTAGCATTAACGGAAGAGGGATTAAGTTACTTAGAGCAGCAAGAAGTTGTAAGAAAATTGGTTCAGAAAATAGCACAGGCCAATGAGAATCCATTGTCAAATTTATTGATACCTGGATTAATGAAATTTTTTGGAAATGTTGCTCGTTATTGGCCTAATGAAATATTTTCAAAATACCCAGTTGTGGTTTCTGCATTATTTGAAGTAATAGAAAGTGGAGATCAAACTATTCTTGGTGTTGCATTAGATACATTGGGACATGTTTCTATGCGAGTTGAAGGTAAATATGCTTTACAAGACTTAAGAGATGCCATGCCATGTGCATTAAAAAAAATTGCTGAAGTAATACAAGGAATGCCTACAGCATTAAGAATTCATGCACTTAATAATTTGGCTCTCATACTTGATGTACAAAAAGCAGAACAGGACAACAGAATCTTGTCTTTGACAAAATCATGGTTTGATTCAATGTGTGATGATCCATTGGGTATGATTGTAGCATTGTGTAGGCAACCATTTGCAGATATTAGGCAAGCAGGTTTAGAGGTAATGGCAGTTCTGGCATCTCAAGTATGGGGTCAAGAATACATATCTTCTTATCCAGGTCTTGTAGAATTTTTATTGGACAGGAATATTGAATCTTTTAAAGAATGTAAAGAAGCTAAATATGAAGTTATAAAGCAGTTAGTTGAAGCTGAACAAGACATATTTGATGCAAATATAATGCAAAGGTTCAGAGACTTTGTAAATCAAGGACCACATTATAATGAAATTGATACAGAAGTTGCAATAGAAGGAGGACTATGAGTTATGTTATTTTTATTTTTGTTACTGTATGTTAAGAGTGTTAAAAGTTATTAACATCTATTGGAATATTGTATAAGATGTCAAATAATTTTTTTAAGTGAAATTTTGACAAAAAATATGCTACTATTTATTTTCTATATGTTATATGTACAAATAAAATGCAATGGTACATAAACAAGGATCTATTCTTTTATGTAATGAGAAATGCAAGTATACAAAGACAAATAATTTATTTTGTGAATAACAATACATAGTAAAGTTAAAACTACGTGCAATAATGCAAAATTACTTGTAGTTTTTGCGTATTTTCGCATTATAATACTCCAATACTTCTCGCTAGTTTTTTTTTTACATTAGTTTCATACAATAAAAACATAAACAATTTTATAAAAATATGTGTAACAGCTATGTTACTGCCTCATTGTATGCGTTTTCGTTTTTTGGGAGAAAGTATTTTTAACATGCTCACAATAGGAGCTTCAAAGGATACTGATATGATGAATGATAATATGTATGATAAAACCAGTTGTCCAAAGAAAGTGATCATCTAGAAAGTGTATCGCCTTATTAAATTTAGTGATAAATGACGACAAAAAATAAATTTTGTACTTTTATACTAACATACCATGGTATATTTTCCTAAATGAAACGGTGAATCCAAGTTCATAGCTGTCAATCGAATTACAAGTGGATGTACCAAATAAGCGCAATACGTTGTTCTACTGATTGGGTATAAAATCGGTGCCGACAGAATACTATTCACATATCCTATCATAATCAAAGCAGATGAATTGTGTTCCTATACTGTTTGTAATTTTATAATTATTATTGCCAATAAATAATTACCTCCGTAACCTGTACTGCATGCAATAACAATCCACGATAAACCAAGCGCCCATACACTATGACTTAATGAAGAATAAGTAGCTGCCATTATAGGACTAAGTTCTGTTTCGTATAGACCGTATAATAAACTTAATAGACATGCTGAAGAAAGGAGCCATCCTACGCAAACCGTTGTCTGAAAATGATCAAATTATAACTTACAGTATAATTATCGTCTTAATGGGTTTCAAAAAGTTTAAATTTGTATACCTTGGACATTTTTATTTTGCAATCAATCTTAAAAAGTAAGTATCCCATTGACATGCCTATGAGATAAGGACCTAATCTGGTCCATGGTTTATCATAAATTTTATCGAAAAGCGCCAACGGGTCGTCCGAGCTTGGCATATGATTATTTACTAGAGCAATATAACCCGTTGTTAACCAGGAACTCATTAGTAAGGTAGTCATTGCGAAGGTTGCAATTTTAAAGTGATTTGTTGCTAAGATCAGGATCACAGCGCCAACAATGTAGAACTGAGTGTCATCCGCGACATACCAACTCCAAATCATACACTGAAAACCAATATACATGACACTGAACGCTAATCTTGATTGTTTAATGAAAATTTAAAAAAAAAAGATTGAACAACTCACCATTTGATCCACTGGGAACAAAGTGTTGATATAAAGCAAATTTCTCCACCAATAGTTGGCACAATTATAATGATCTGCTGTTGGTGGTTCAAACACAGAATTCGAATGAAACCATTTCATTGCAATTTGGACCACTCCAAGTACAAACATATAAGGAGCTGTGAGCCTACAAAATCGGTATATAAGAAGACCGATGAATTTCAAACCACCTGCAATGATACCTCGTGTACCCTGCGTGAGTTTATTCAAGTCTCCTTTTGCGTTTGTTCTGAAATACAAGAAGCTCACGAGTAAGCCTCCCATGAAGAAAAATGTATCAACACTGAAAGCTCCATTTGTGATTGTTTGAAAGAGAAATTTTTTTTCCACGACTTTTCTGTATTCCATGTTATCGGAGTACTTGAAGGCTGTAATACAGGTGTGACCCAGGATAACCCAAGCCATCGATATCGCTCTAAGGCCATGAATCGTACTAATAGTATCACCTCCAACTTTATCATCACATATGATTTTCACATTAGTTCGAATTGAGAAAGAAAGCAACAATTCCTCGAAGACACCTAAGAATACGATAATGAAGATTTACCTTCAATTAGCTTTAATTCATTATTTAACAATATTTTTTATTAAAAAGAAAGATCACTTACTGAATTTATGTATTTCTGGACTAGCTGAGCGTAGGCTACATTCATGATTGTTGTTGTTATTAACTGCTAATGACTGTGGTCCGTTGATGATAGCTTCTGTCACTGGAACAGGAAGGTAGACCTTACCTTGAAAAGCTACGGAATATAATAATAAAAATGTGTCACTGTCTTTGCTACTGTCCTTGTCCTGTGCTTGTCTGTAAGTGTTAGTCACCCTTTCGTTTTCGGTAAAGGGGATGAGCATAGAAGTACAACGTTGCTCTTGAACCACGTCGAAAGGAAAAACGTTACGGGAAGAAAATTGAAAGGAAGAAGATAACATAGATTAGAGACTGAATATCTTACCACTTAAGGATTTTTGATTTTTAACAGCTAACTGTTCAAGTTTCACGTGCCTTTCCAAGTCATAAATAACGTTTCTTCCGTGCGTATATTTTCTCGTTATATAGATATCGTATGCAGTACCAATGACCATCAGGAAGAAAATCGTAGCGCTCACACCACTGAAATGTTTTTCACTGTTTATAATACCGATCAGTTTAATATCTAGTGCAATTTTAATATGAGCTAACGTACAAAAGAATCCAAAACACTGGATCCTCGTACATGTTATATGCATTATGCTGATCTCGAACTTTTTCAATTGACAAATGTTTCACCGCCTGTTCGCTTCCGGCGAGTTTTGTTATTACAAAAACATCGGTAGCATTACACGAGAAAGGTAGACAAACTCCTAAATAAATCATTCTAGTCTGCAATCAACGTTACGATAATTATTAGAACGAATAATTTTTCAGTAATAAAATCTCAATATTTAGATCGTTTACCACAGGAGATAACGTGGTGTTCATTGAAATGGTGATCATATAAAATCCTAGTTTGTAAGGTGGCTTATCTAATTTTGTTCCAACCCAGAGATTGTTTCCACTGGGACCGCTGTTCTTTTTTCGCGGCTCGATGTTAAATTCTTCTACCTCGTCTATCGATGCATCTTCGTGCACTTTTGCAATCTTTTTTCCATAATCTCGGTCGATGTAGGCACACTGGGTGGCTGATCCGACATAATAAGAGTTTCCCCAGAAGAAGCTGTTGGTGTATCTGCCCGAAGCGTCATCCACTGGAAAAAAGAGAAGGTTCCCGTATAATTTCGTGATTAGTAAATCAAGTCCTCTGAAAGACATCACGAAAGGCTTTATGTCAGACTGTATGCTTCTTTTTTGTCTATAGGATAACTTGCGAGCTGTAACCGGTGACCCACTTCACCAGCCAACACTTTCTCCTTGCTCGACGAGTGACCATTTCCGGATCATTTTGAACGAAATTCCAGTGGAAACGAACTGTTGAGGACGTTTCAAACTTTAGGTAGCTGATGTGAAAAGGATTCGAATACATGGACTTTGTTTCCCTTCGATACCAAATAGCAGAGGATCACTCGATCGATGCGGCTTAAAATTAGTACTCCGTGTTCGATTACATTTTCATAACATACACGTGTTATGCTTGAATCTAGACGTTAACGCTGATATATAATTTTCATTATCAAGGATTACGACACATATCGGAAGCTAGGAACTCGACGATTCTCTAATAAGACTTTCTATTCGAGAGGAAAGCGATATTATCTAATCATTGTAATTATCATCGTGGTGGCGTTCACACCATTTCCAGGGATCAATTTATGCGTATGCAAACTGCAGTTACAGTATAAATCGCGACGTCATTGTCTCACGCGGAAACAAACTTACGGAAGTCTTCAGGCAAAATATTCCGTAGATGACTCATAATTAAGTGCAACTTTATCCTCATATTTTATCTCGTTTGAACAAACAGACTTTAACTTTTTTCCCTTTTAATACAGTCGAGTTTGTCATAATAGATTCATGGATAACAGGATCCTAATTCAAATATTGATCTCGTGATTCATTTGGTTCGACCAACGAGACATCCTATGTAGATTACCGTGATTCGTGATCCCAACAAACCAACGGGGAATCTTATTACCGATTCTGTTCGCACAAAAGTAGAATCGTGTGCGCATAATCGCAAAGAAATTAGAATAACAATGGATTTTGTGTACGTGCAATGATCTCTGACACAATACGCCATTGAACGAGCAAAGTCAAGTTCAATCTTTACACGTGACCTGTGTCGTTTTCACATTGACTCGCGAAAGAGTAAAACGTGAAACAATCTTGTTCATTCTTACCACATGTCATTCACGAACGTGTCTAATACTATCACGCTTTTCATACTTATAAAGCAACAAGAGCCATGGATCGAACAATTTTATTTTCATTGTTTTCACAGATATTCAGCATAGAAATAGTCTACGTTTAATGCACGCATTTCATCAAAATCGATTATCTTCTCAAAAAAATCAGAGAACCCTGCCAGGGTAGTGAAGCGTTGAAATGTGAAACATGCCAATACGAAGAATACCGTTGAACATAATCGATTTTTGTGGTTGAATAACATTTGTACGAAAGAAGAAAATAAGGAGCGAGAAGTAAATTGGATAAGTTTAGTGGAAAGAGAACGACCGGTTTGGAAGGTCTTTCGGTTATAGTATCGCGATCATGGTCGGTGTTTCCTTGACAAAGTTCAAGTGCTATCGCAACCAGAGTTGCTGAAAAAACTCTGCTTCAGTCCGTTACACGTGCTCCTTGTTCGGCAATCGGCGGATGCAATAAAATTTCACTGACACTCGTTTCAAGTTTAAATAACGGATCGTACGTAATCCATTATCTCTTAACTATCGTTAAAATTGTGATCATATTTCGAAATTTATATACCTGGAAAAATAAGTTGTAAATTTGCATTTATCTTTATCGACTATAGTGCTGTTAGCGTTACCTGGATGAACGATGCAATATTAGATGAAATATTGACACATAAACATAGTCGTAAAGTGCACTAATTCGGGGTTTGCTCGGGTGAACAACTGCGAATTACTAGTTCCCCTTTGGAATTGGCTATAATCACAATTATCGGCAATGAACTATGACAATATGATTTATCATTTACTTCCGATCGATTGAACGTGCTAAATAGCACGTTCCAGATAGCCAGTCAGGGAAAGTAATTCGGAAAGAGAAAGGTTCTCCTTTACATAGTTGATCGTGTTGCAATATTAATGGCTGTCTAGCCGGACGTGCGTAGTATTTAAGCATTGCTCACACCGAAGATTCTTTTATCCACGTGCCTTTTGAGATTTCATCCGAAGATATAAATACATATTTATTGATCCTAATTAGAATATCATTCAAAAGCACATGTTTTTCTGGAAACACGTTCCTAAGCGAATGTAAAGATTGTCGTTTGTTTTTGAGTTAGATTAAATTATTCTTATCAATTACGTTACACGACTAGACCTGTTAAAAAGATGATTTGAATAGAAAGGATACAATCGTAACTCGAGGATGCATTTATTAGTCGGTTGCATTACATCGCGTTCTGCTGTTCGAGAACAAAATTATAACGTGACTAACTTATTTTTCCAAGAGTAGAAAGTGAAACGAGCATCACGTCTAATTCATTGTCATATGGTGTTGCATCAGCTGTTGCAATTTGTGCGTTTCAAACGTATTCCATAATCGGTAATCGGCTGACGAAAACTCTGTTACATACATTCGTTTGCAGCTCGTAACTGATCGATTTCTTTCGCAAGCGAGGCTAATTGAAACTTACCTTTCTACGACTGATTTTCTGTGAGTCTACGTTAACTATTACTATGCCATCCGTTTCGAATCATTCAACGTGAACGCTACAGAGATTTTATGTGTACATTATAAACATCGGAATTTAATGCTTGATCGCACACACAAAGAATTCCATACACTGATATCGTGTCAGACGCACGATATTCATTTCAATGCGTAATTTTTTTTCTATTCAAGCTTAAAAGGTCTGCCACATTTGAAAGACCAGAACATACAGGAAGTTCCTATTAGGGACACCTAAGAATTTATTTAGATTATTACATAACCTACAAACGGAGATGTATTACTTTCTACTTCTCGTTCGCCTTTTATATGTGACTACTAACATATCGAACAGGAAGAAGGCAAATTAGTTTTCTCCGAATTCTCTGTTCAGGACAGCTGGATCACGATCAATTTTCATTGATGTTCGAGGAAATTTTGATCACGATGAACTAGACACGCATCCAGAACGCGTTCTATTTGCTTGTGCAAGTTAATGTGGTAGAAAATCTGTTTAGAGGTGAAACACGTAGAAAGTACATAAGGAAATATATGCTTACATAATTCTGGTGTCGAAACATTAATCAGACACGAGGAAAGATCAAATGCATGTATTTACATCGTGTATAACCATAATTTAAACGCGGTATAAGGACTATACATACGTATAAGGCGGTATTTTAGCAGGCATCGAAAGTGAGTTTATAGTACAGTGACTCGCCTAAGGATGTCGGGTCGACGGATCGTGAATGGTGTGCTGCATGAACTAGGAAGCGACAGTGACAAGGCTTTTCTAATGACCCTGTTCGTGCACTGTTATATCATGATATTCATGCAAAGTAAGAAGTACACTGATAAAGGATCGGTAACGGGAAAGAGAAGAAAAGTCCAGCGTTACGTGAAAGTTGCGTTTGTAAGCCTGGTTTCCACGTAATCCTTTCTCCAGGAGGTTTTTGTATCCAGTATGACGTAATTTCGATAATTGCCGCGGTTTCTACTTCGGTTGTGTACGTGTACGAGTCTTCCTTAAAACTTTCTAATGTTACCTTTTCGCGAATCATGAAGGATGCTCACGGAAGTCTAATCCATACGCTTGTCGCTAATTTAAGTAGCGTAACCGTTATCGTCGATGAAAGTAGTTAGTTGTTTTACAAAGTTTCATTATGATTTCCACGGCCAGTTTTTAACCCTTAAAAACTATTATATATATCTCATTCGAGTTAACTATTTTTGTTATATTTATAGCAAAGTATTTACACGAGAAAATACGTCTGTTCTAGGATAATATTGTCACCACTGATAGTAACAATAAATACCCGTAAAATTAAAATTACTAATAGTTATATTTTTTAATCGGATTGGTACAAAATTCGCACGTGGTGAAATTTCTCCTGTGGCAGCTTTTAGAAGTTAAACTAGTTTTAAATTAAATACGGAGATCAAGTTGAATAACTCGGAGTTACATGAAAGCACCCGGAAGCGTGGGTTCAGGTTAAGTACGACCGAAAGCTGTACGATGGATGCTTGTTCGACAATGGGTGTTGCTATACCGAACAGCATTTCAAATGTCATAACGGTAACATTTCTAATGTCGTTTCCTCATGACAGCTTCATGGTACCTTTCACCTTTTTCCGCGCAATTGTATAAATTTGAACTTCCTACAATGATAATAGAGTATACGACTGCACGAGAAGAGAAAGTCATGAAATTTGTTCTGGTTACTTTTCCCTCGCTCGGAAATTGGGGAGAGTTCAACAGACAGAGTTCTCACCGGAAATAATAAACGTTACGAGATAATAGGATAATAGGACCATAACAAAAATTTTATACTCGGTCAGCTGAAACAACCAAGGCTAAGGTAACAGATAAAGAAAAATAACAACTTTACTCTCTCATAATTTACTTTTTAGGTCTTATGAGACGGTTTAATGAAAAGTGAGATTTCAAACAAGCCTACCCTCGTTGAAGCTCCTATTTCATTCGTATCATTTCTCGTTAAAAGCGAAAATTTTATGATAAATCAGTTTCTTGTATGGAAACTGTCTCAAATGTGGAGTTGCTTTTCAGAGTTATCCTGTGCTATTCCTTTCCTGAACATCCGTGAACTTTTTCTTCGCGACGGGATATGTCGAAAGTCGAATAAAAACCAGTTTGTTCCTCTTTAGGCAAATTGTACGGTTTATTGACTCGACTATTTGATTGTCGATCAGTTATTGTCAACACTTTCGATATATTCAGAAACAGAACAGGACTGAACAGTTTAAAATAAACATAAAATCTTCAATCATCAACACCTACATGTCTATGTTAATTAAAGAGGAACTTCCAAGGTAGTCTCTTTTCTAGGTATTGAAAACTCGTTTTAAAGCTACGTATTCAGAGAATTATGCGAACGACCATTCTCCATGATCTAATTTTCATGAACTTTGTAGATAAAAATTTGATGGTGCAACACTTGGCTGTGGCAAACAAGCAGTACTGCTGGTTTTTGGACCTTGTTAGTAAAATTGAAACTCAGGAGAAACAGGTTGGTCACTATATTTTAATATCTTTTACTAGCTGTTCGCTATTTAATCAAGGTTTTATTTCATGCATCGATCGTATTTACAAGTTTCCTTCTTTCTGCACGTGTTACCGTATAATTAATTAGAAAAAATCTTGAGTAGTCATAAAAATACCTCTAACCTGTTATTCATTATATGACGAAAGTTATCGTTCCGTGTTTAGTCATATAGCGACATATTTTTTATCTCCTATTTATTTTCCTTAGCTTACAAAAGCGAAGGAAGAACCGTGACACACTTAGCCCTTTACGTACTTTACATCGGGCCCACTGGACGATCGAGCATAGTATTCGAAAAGGGATCTTAAAGGTAGAATGTATTCTATTCTTAGTTATTACGTACAGGATAGTGTGTCGAGTGACATTCTTCGTCGACATGTTGCAATCGATGCAGTGTCCTATAATTCTTGTAAATTCCGAACAAAAATTTGACTATATGTCATGTACTTATTCAAAATTAATGAATTATCCATGAATTCAAAATATTTAACTAAATATTACCATGGATATTATACGGGTTTCGTTAGGTAGATCAGCACTCTTGATGTTGGATCGAAAGTCAGAATGTATTTCGTTTTCAAGCGTTATAATGTTATAAACACACCGTACACTCATTCTCTAGGAATGTATTTCTATTATATATATAAATGAAAGACTGTTAAAGTTCATTCTCTGACCCTTGATTAAGAGATTCAGTGAGACGTCAAAAATAATCATGTTGCGCTGTCCGATTGATAAATGACGACGAATGCTACGTTGATTTTATACAATTGTCAAAGACAGGAACAAAGAACCGAATGATCGCATCAGGACTTTTAGAAAGATGGAATACTTCAAACCTCTTGCGAAGAGTGGCATTGACCGAGAGAAGTGGTAAAACATTGAAAGCGATTCGTTGTCAAGCTACGCGATGTCGGTCATGGAAGTCGTCACTGCGTTGCTCTTTGTGTCGCGAAAAGTGAAATTTTGCGATGAAAGTAGGCAAAGACGAATTGCCGGGAAGAAGACAAATGCGTTTTAGCAAGGACGTGGTTCTGGTGAATTCCCGCCAATGAATGACGCCCTATCGACTTTCGATTTTCTTCCCGACGAAAGTGAATTAACCCGATCGGGTTATTCTCACAAAAAGCGTTGAACGTGAAATGAAGCACGATTTTTTAGAAATCTTGTTAATCTTTCGATCGATCGATGATAGCTTGTTTCGTGTAATAATTTTTTACTTTCGAGTACGTTTCTTCCCTTTTTCTTATTTCTTTCGGGATATATAAAAAATCTATGTTAAAATACAACGAAATCATGAGCCGTATTAACTCCGTGTAAACCTGACAATTATATCTGTACTCGTTGTAACTCGTACACTTTCTATTCGTGCAATAAATTTTTGCTCGCATCACGGGATGTACCGTTGTCTCTTGTGTACACGAGAGAAGAGAGAAATGTTTGCTCGCGGTTAGTTCCAAATGAATAATTGGTTGTTAAACATTTGGATAAAGACGAACTACCGGAGGCATAATTTTTTTGGCATAAATTTGTCTGGTTTAACGTACCTTTCAGAGCCCATCCTTCTTGTCTTTTTAATCCTTCGATGTACCTCGTAATGTCTTTGGCACACTGTTCTTGAACAGGAAATTTCCCTTCTGTCCAATTACTGGCAAGGTAACGCACATTGAATATATCTAGCGCTTCCGGCAATGTAGTCCAATTTCTCTCCGGAATTTTATCGGTATTTGTTAATGTTCTTACTTGTTGGTTCGCTAAAGAATCTTGAACAGAACCCTCTGAGGCATTCGAGAAAGATGTCACCCCGCAAATCGCAAAGCATGCGAGGAGAACCAGATACCACGCGTAGTTCATCGTTAATTAAATTACGTTTGCACCAAACACTATGAGAATAAAATTGTCCAGAGATCGATTAATCTCAACTAGCCATATTCAGAATTTTCAAAATGTAGGCAATTTTGACGAGTATCGGATCCTCCGAGTCTTTTGTACACTCATTAATTCTTTTCCGTTCCTTTCCTGAACGTCCTTAAACGTCTCTGAAATTGTTGAATATCACAGAAAAATATAAATCAGATCACAGTCGATGCTTCTTTTTTCTTCTAGTACAATTTTACACTGGTTTGGAGGTATGATCTCTTCTTCACCGATATTGATGAAGAGAAAAGTTGTCGATGTCCTCAGCTACCTTCAGAGTCACGTGAATCTCTCTAGTCGCATTTTCGAATACTTCCAGGGAATTTCCTCTTGAAGTTTACCCGCTCTTATTATCATATTTCTGAGAAAGCAACGGGAGTATACAGAAAGAGAGAAAGAGAGTGGATTCCACAACACGATTGCTTGAATGATCTTAAACTGACTGCAGGCTTCAAAACGAGCACCTTCTCTTCTATGTGGTTCCTCCTTATTTGATGACCAAGGATCACCTAGAACGACGAGGCTGGCAATGGTAGAAAAATGGCTTCGCCGGATGAATATCTTGGTAGTAATGAAAGTGCGAGCAAATGGTGGGGAGAAACCTCCCCATATTGAAAAGTGAGCGCCAGTGGTAGGTACCTTAGTCTGATACACGTGTTTAAGTACGCGTAGTTAACATAATTTCGTGCCCGTTGACGAAACGAAGAGGCGGGGAAAGACGGTTTCCTTGAAGATACGAAGCTGCTCTTTTATGAGAATTACTAAGCATTTTTCAGTCTCTCATTTTGTTCCTTGTGAGAGGAGTACGCTTATGAAAAAAGATGTTTCTTGAATAATAAATGTCTGGTCAGACCTCGGTATGTCTACAAAAAATGATAACAGTAAACATCTGACAGAAGCTGAAGGAGCGTCTGTACCATTAAACAAAGTTCAACATTCCTTCTCTTGACTTTGGCATATAAAAATGAAGAAGAAAACCAGATGTAACCAGAGATGTGAGCTTACATGAAACCAGATTTATCAGGCTGAACGGATGAGGATGTTTAGACTGCCACTGACTCTTGTATTAGTTCTTAGTTCTTTCCTGCGTAGATCATTTTGATGATCTATAAAAAATAGACGTTCTCCATTCCTTGTTTTATGAGTACTTAATTAGGAACTTTTAATCAATCCAAGCGATGAATTTTGCGAAGGCTCATAAGAAAGTTTAATGAACCGATATGCTTAGAAGGTAGGATTAAATGGATTGATTAATTTAACGGATTATATATGAGCGATGACTAAGATTTTGCATGAGTTCACCTGAAACTGATGACAAAGTCTATTTCAGAAGTTTCACTAAGAAATTTCATACTATTAGAGAAGTGTTTCTCTTTCTCCGGCGTAGAACTTTCGTCAAACGATGTCATTGGTTGCTCAGTCGTGCTGAAATTCGTTTTCCTTTTTTTTCGTCATTACAGGCTTTTACCATCCTCCTGCGTAATTTGCGTTGCTAATACCATGCGGTTCCAAAAACTATAATAACTGGGAATATACGAATTTCTTATATCTGTAATCAATCGTTGCAATCATTTGTAATCCTTACCTGACCGAAAGTCAACATTACATTTTTGGATTTCGTTGAGAAAGTCATTAACATGAACAGTGACGAACCATATTCGTAGCACGTGCTATTAAAGCGTGAATTGCGTGAAAAACAGACATAATGCAGTTGCAAAGTGCAATAACTTGTTCTTTATGTATACTCACACTTGCGTTGTTACAATACCATGCACGTATGGTGCTCTTTATAGGGTCTTTATAGAATATTAATCGAAACTTTGACCATGACAATTTTCTTGTAGTTTGTGTAATAAGAAAGAATTACGAGCGCAAAACTTGATTCTTGTACTTTGATCTCTATTCTATTAATAATTGAGCAAGGAAGCAAATATTGATATTAGTATACCTTTATATTATAATTACATTTTCTTTTATCGAATATCGAATTCCGGATTTCTCTTTCTTCCTTGTCGCATATTTGATCTATGATGCAAATGTTGGAAAGTGAAACTGGTCAAAGCAGACCAAATTTCGTCTCGTCCTTTTTTCAGAGGCAGACAAATTTCTATCGAAGATAATCTTGACTTGTTTCATGTAAATTCCAAAATCTTTAAAATGTCAAAATAAAATTTAAATTCATCGATTGAAGGACCCAAGTCGATCTGTGACTGGTTAACCTTCATTTCTAAACTGATCTCTCTTTCATCGGTCATCGTTCTTTCGTCATGTAAAATATCCGTACCTTCTAACGAAAAATATATGACCCTAGAAGCAACCATATTTTATACCCGTTCTTCCTAATGTATCGTCTATATTATCTGATGAGAGTAGTTCAAGGCAAAAGACGGAAAGATCGATAGATCTTTCCGAGTTACGGACGTTTTATATTGAAAACATAAACACAATAACAATAGAAAGCAGTATCGTTATTCTGCGAATTTGAAGATTTCTTTTATAGCATATCGTACAAGCCAACAAAGATAGGATTGTAGAAATTTATTCGCTACTCAGGAAGTACTCATGGTCGTTTCTTCTGCGTTTTAAGATAACCATGTTCAGCAAAGCGTATATATTACTTTTTTCTAATTTTCTTACATAATGTTGCTGTCTCGTAATTGCAAATAGTATACCTGATATTAATAAATAAAAATAATAGTAATAAAATAAAAATATCCTATTTTTATTATATATTAAAAAAATAAAATGTTTTCTTAATTGATAATTACCGATAATTAATAATTAGAGTTATTTATATTGTTTTTATATTATTTACGTGTCGAGTTATTTCGCTTTCTTCCATTGTCTTAATGGGTGAACTATTCTCAGTAAGGACACCACCGGAGCTTCGAAGAGTAAACTGATGAACAGCGAAACGGCATAAGTTGCTATCGTAAATCCAAAGAATAATATTGCCTGTAAAACATTTCGAAATCTCCATAAAACACCGGCAACGATTTCTACACATAAATAATAATAGTTAAAATTACGTTGCTAAATTTTGTCTTTGGTTGAAGTTAGGAACACTTTCACCGACAGGAAGAAGTGAAAGGGGAAGAAAGAAATGAAAATTGAGAAAGAAGTAGGATTAACAACCGTTGGTGGGGGCAGAGTGAATGGTAGATGGAAACGTAGGTAGTATTCCAGCCGAAAGAGTCGAGATCTAACGGCGTGGCTAAAAATTAAACGTCTGCTCGATCGGTAATCGCGCTATTTGTTCAAAATTCAAATCTTTTACCAAATCACAACTAAGATTCTAAAGAAAGAAAAGGCAAGAGGGATTATAATACCATAAGTCCTTGTGTGAGATGCAGCGAAGATTCTCCGTGTAAGACCACTGCTCGTATGATCGCAGGATGCACTAAATATGCGCAATAAGTAAGCCTGGAAAGGGGGTACAAACCTCTCCAGGATAATACTTTATTTATTATGCCTAAAAAGGGACGATGAAATTAAAAGGAATATTTCTAAATTTAATATAGTATATATTTATTTCTATTTATAGTATATATATTTCTAAACTTAGTATAGTATATATTTATTTCTATTTATAGTATATATATTTCTAAACTTAGTATAAACTTAGTACCAACCTCCATGTCCTGTAACACAAGCAATCAAAATCCACGCTATCGAAATTGCCCATCCGGAATGCGATAATGCGGTGTATATTGCAGACAAAAATGGACTGAGTTTATTCCCGTATAATCCATATACAATGCTTAGTATCGTAACAAAAGAGAGAGTCCAAAATACCAATGCGATCGTCTACGATTACAGACAGAATAGATACTGATTATTTAGTACAAGAAATTCCTCTATTAAGAGCACGATATCCACTGCTTGATTATCATGATGGAGAAAGCTGTTTACGATATTTTTTGCAATGTGGATATAATTAAATACAATATATTACGTGAGTTTTGGCGAGTTAGTTCTTAACGAATCATTTATCATGAATGTTTACTATTAAACACTTCGTTTTCAAGATAATCATCCTTGTGTTTTAAAATGTTATAACGTTATTTGTGTAGCGCATGAACCTTAGAATGTAGAACGTGTGTTACTCAAAATTATGCAATTACTTTTGTTACGTTTGTGACTTATAATTACGTAAATAGTAATAATACTTACTTTCCTTATTTTTATTTTGCAATCAGATTTGTAAAGATACCATCCCGCTATCATTCCAAAAAGATATGGTCCAATTCTTGACCAGGGTTTGTCGTACAGGCTCTCATAATGAGCGAATGGGTCCTGAATACTATATACATGTTTAAATATAAAAGATATAATAGTTGTAATTATTAAAAATTATATATATATATATATATGAAAACCAAGTTTTACCTCGGTATGTGTCCTATATTCAAAGTAATAATAGCTGTAGTAATCCAAGATATAACCAAGATGGAAATTGTTATGATTCCAGCAACGAAAACGAATCTGAAAGATACAGGTTCGATAAATTATCACATCTTCTAGCTGGAAGAACATTCACCATGTGTACCTTGCGCTAATTATGAGAATAATTGCTCCAATGATATAAAACAGCGTGTCATTCGCTAAATACCAGCTCCATACGATACACTGTTAATACACGTAATTATAAAGCGCAATGTTCTTAATGCAATGTAAAACTTTTACTTCAATTGTACTCACTCGTTCATCCATCGAGAAATATGTATTAATGTATAGCGCGTTACGCCACCAGAATTTTCGACAGTTATGGTAATCGAGCATATATAAATCTAGTACAGTATGATTGTAGTACCAAGACATAGATACCTCGATTAAACCGATTACCAAAAGGTAAACAGGTGTTAACCGGAAGTACCGGTACCATACCATACCTAAAAACTGCATGATCTGACCGCAACATCCTCTTATTATTTTCTTCTTTTTCATATTATCTTTCGTGATCGTGCGAAAATATAAAAATGATACCAAACATCCACTGAAATAATACATAATAAATAATATGGAGATAGAAGAAAAATTTTGTTAAAATACCTCATGAAAAAGAACGTGTCTACAGCATAAGTGCTGTTACTGATAGTTTGGTACATAAATTCACTCTCCACATTCGACTTGAATGTTTCACCCTCTGTAACAATAAGGAAAAGAATATGTACATGATAGTGTACGTGATATTTTAATGAAAAATGATGAAAAATGTATATACCGGAAACTACATTCACTGTTAGACACGTGTGGACAAGAATGATCCATATCATTGATAGAAATCGCAAACCGTGAATAGGGGCTAGAGTATCAGCACCAACATCGAGGCTGAAAAGCTTTGAAAGATTTAATAATAGACTAAAGGAAAGCAGTGCTTCCGATAAAGGCCTTGGGACACTGTCAGAATTGTATATGTCTAAAATTATTTAATAAAATTTATCAACTTGGTGTTTTAATCGGTATTAGGAAATTAATAAAAATATAAGAATACCTAGAGTGCCATTGTGCTTTTTCACCGACCACAATTTAGTAATTGTGACCTCACCTTCAACGTTTTCATTTGGGCTTAAAATTTTCATTTCCGTCATCATGTTACTCGAGCTATGGGCATTTTGCTCCATGTGCAATACCTGATATCGAAGAGCAATGTCGTAGAAAGTACCCAACATCACAATTACAATCACTACGACTAATGCAACTCTGTAAATCAGTTATCCTTCTGTTAAAACAACGGGATGCATTTATACTATCTAAAATTATATTTCTTATTGTCTAAAATTTATAGGTTCAGCGAAAAGAAATGAAATAATAAAACGTACAATAAAACGTGAAATATAGGATCTTCCCATAACGAATATTTTTTCGAAAGATTTCTTATAGTTTCGATCGCTATTTTCATAGATGAATCGTTCCCGCGTTGATCCTGAACAAAGTACAAAAGTTTCTCGGTGTCTTCTAAATTACACGAATCAGGTGAACAAAATCCAAAAATAACTCTGTAAGTCTAAACGATAAAGATTAACAGCAATTAAGAAGTTAAATAAGATGTACGAATTTAAAAGAAAAAGAATAAGTGTAATAATCGAAGATACCTCGTTCAAATTAGTTTGGTAAATACTCAAATTAAGAGTAATAGATGACATACTGACTAGAAAGGGTGGTATATCCTCTTGATGCTCAGATTTGTCATCGCTGTGTCGATCGATAAATTTTATTCTCATTTCACGACACTGATCTACATTACCTAGCCAGAAGACATTACCCGAGAACAGACCCGAAGTGTATCTACCAGTAGCATCTACCACTAAAATGAATTAAAAATCGTTAATTGATTGCATATAAATAATAATTAATACAAAATTAATCCTGTTCGAAATTTCTATTATAAGTCATATTCGTATAACTCGATGCTTTTCAACTATTCGAATTATTTAAATTAGTCTACACTTTTTAGAAAGGTATCTTGTTGAATAGAAATTAAAGTTCGTACAAAATTTATTTCATATGTCCGTATTAAAAACTTAAAGATGTAACGTTATTGTACATAAACTGATACAGCTATGCCAGAAAAATTCACTTTCTCGCTTTCTAGGAAGGGCAGTCGTCCAGCCTTTCATTTTTCACTTAGTCAAAATCCTGTGTTAGATAAACTTCCTACAGTGACTGATTACAGGATACTACGTTTAAGAGAGCTTTATTTTTTGTGCTGCTTTTTATTATCCTTTGTGTTACTGAACTCTTATAATGTTGAATAATTGTGTTCGCGAAGAAAGTATCATTTATCAAAGCTAAAGCAGTAACAAGATGTATTCATTACTTCCTGCATGTATACGTTACACAACTATTTCCTCATACCACGAGATCTGCACTTAATAATTTTTCGACATTATAAACATTCAAATTTCCCTCGCACGTCATAATCAATTTATGAATAGAATAATTTTCTTTCAATTCCATTCCATTCTCAATTAAATAGTAATTAATTGTTTTAAGTTTATATAATAATTAATTGTTAATTTTAGTTCAATTTTTAGTTTAATTTTAATCATATACGATATATATCTGGATTAGCAAACAATATAAAAATAATTAAGCTACAAGTACATTTTATTAATTTTACTTGCTTTTTAATGCCCATTTGTCTCCTTTTAACAAAGCTGTCATATAATTTGTAATATCTTTTTCACAGTCTGATGAAACGTTTAATGATTTACGTATATCGTAATGACTCCAGAAGTTCGCTAGCATATATGGATTCCAAATATTTAAATCGTTTAAATGTAATATTGATCGATTAACGATATCCTCAGCTATACTTGACTGAATCACTTCCTTTATTTTCATATGTTTTTCCCAAGAAGTACTATGATTCTTTTTTAAAATATCATTGTTCACTTTCAACTCATCGTTATAAAAATGCGCGGTCTTTTCGATCAATTTCAAACCACTCACTGACAAAAACACAAGAAACAAACCCAATAAACGTTCACCGAACATAATTAATTTTTTTTTAATTTACGTTCTTCTTAATTGTCTGTGGTTAGTAATTATCAATAATTTTGTATTTTTTATTTAATCGTAAAACTATATTTAATTTCAAAATTATAGAAGTTTTTTAAATTTAAAATGCAGTAGAAAACTTTTATTTTAAAATTGTTAAATTTTGCATTCAATGTTTACACAATTAATTTGTTAATTTATAAAACACTTTGAAAAACTTTATGAACCGACCAAAGCCGATGTTCTTATAGTTACTGTAACTACTGATTAAGTGCATGGTCAGATATACTCCATTTCCCGCCTCCCACTTTGCCACCTTTAGTATATACTCATAGAATGTCTTACCGTGATTTCATGCCTTAGACTCACTTTATAGTGAATTTCATTTGGTAATGTATCGCTATTTTCTTTCCGCTACTTTAGTTGTCACTACATAAGAAGAAAATTTAGCTTATATGGGAATCTTATTCAATATTGTCATGAACGGAAACTTGTTTTACATTTTATACTTAATGAGGAATAATAAATATTATAAGTTAAATATATCGATATGAACACCCATTAAAGATCATAAATGTTTTGTAACGTATTAATTTGTTAAATATCTTATTTTTTTAATTTTTTTCTTACAAAAAAAGAAAAAGCTAAAATGACCATTTCTTTAATTTGAAATATGCCACAAGGCATTGGCATAGTGAACACATGTGAAAGACGTACAGTTAATTGTTACGGTTAATTTTAATAATGGATATAATAATTGATACGAAAGGTGAAGCAGATTTGGTGACGAAAGATCGTTTGGTTGATAGTGACGAAGATGATTTAAATTTCGAAAATAGTGGTAACTATGTTCACATTTTATTATAATATTTTTAGAGGTTAGAAATGTATGACAGCAATGTGCATGCATTAATTTAACAGATATACAGTCATCTACATTTTTCGACATAGAGGAAAATTTAATTAAAAATGAAACCTCATCCAAAAGAACAATCCGCAATGTAACTAAAGATATTGATCTTGAGGAATTTGAGAAAGATTTAGGTTGGTCAAAACAAAACAGGAATAATAATGTAGTGTCTGCTCCAAATATAAGTTGCCTTACACAAGAATTGACACCAGCAGAAAAGATACTTGAAAAAAGTATTATAAAACCTGGTTTTGAACAGTTACAAGCTGTACCCCCTTACGAACTCACTAAAAAATTGCAAGATTTGAAACGCAGAGAACGTGATAAAACTAAGGGCAAGAATTGGTTTAATATGGGTGCTCCTGAATTAACGCCAGAAATTAAATATGATCTTCAAGTTATAAAAATGAGATCAGTACTAGATCCAAAACGTTTCTATAAAAAGAACGATCTTAAAGTATTACCAAAGTACTTTCAAATAGGAAAAGTTATGGATGCACCTCGAGACTATTATTCTGGACGGCTTACCAAAAAAGAACGAAAGAAAACAATTGTGGATGAACTGATGGCTGATGCTGAATTTGCTAAATACAATAAACGTAAATATAAGGAGATCATTGAAGAGAAGAAAAAATTGCATTATAAAGCTCATAAACATGCAAAAAGACTTAAAGGAAAAAGAAAATAATATATGTTACATGCAAATATATATTTTGAACCAACATTTTAAATCATTTTTGTAACATTTGTAATTACATTAAGTCGTAAATTCATTTTAAATTTAGTTACAAAAATATATAAATAAATATATACACACATATACATATATACATATATATATATATATATCTAAAAAAGTTTATATAAATTTAATGCATTCCCCCTGTAACGTCAATAGATGTGCCAGTAACATAAGAACTCTTGCAGGATGCTAAAAATGTGATAATTTCTGCCACTTCTTCTGGTTTTCCCATTCTACGAAGTATTATCTTTTTTATAAACAACTGCTTTACGTTATCAGGAACAGTTTCTGTCATGGTAGTTTCTATAAAACCTGGTAGTACCACATTTACACGAACTCCAAATCTGAAATAAATATGCATAGTTAATAGTATTATAAAATTATACTCATTGTACAAGTATTGTATATTTATTATTTTTGTACTTACTGTCCAAATTCTAAAGCAGCAGTTTGTGTAAGAGCTATTACTCCAGCTTTTGATGCAGCATAATTAGCTTGACCCATGTTTCCTGTTTTTCCAATGATAGAACTTACATTAACAATTGAACTACCTACACTTACATTGGCATTAATCATTTCTTTTACTGCTGTTTGCATCACATAAAATGTCCCTTTCAGATTTGTATCAAGTACTTCATCAAAATCTTTCTTCGTAAGTTTTAAAATAAACTGATCACGTGTGATACCTGCATTATTAACTATAATAGTGGGTGGAGTTGAATATTTATTTATTGTATTTTTAAATGCTTCTTTGATACTTTGCTCATCTGAGACATCCATATTTAATGCTAAATGTTTGGAATCTAAAAATTATTACATATAATTTTAATAATTATATGTACGTTAATAATAAAAAAAGATAAATTTTTTATATTCAAACCATTTAACGATGTAATAGTTTCTTTAGCAATTTTTAAATCCCGATCCGTAGCAATAACCTTGGCTCCCTGTCTGGCTAAAAGACGACATACTGCTCTACCTATACCACTTCCAGCACCTATAATTAAATACTATTCTAACGGAAATAATTTATAGCAAGTACCATTGCTTTAATAATCTCTTGCTTTTCATTTTTCCTTCTTTTTAATACGCACCTGTTACAAGTGCTACTTTGTCCGCTATCATCCTTATTTCTTATTCGGAAAAACTTAGAACAAAGACAAATAGATAAATTACAAGTGTAAATTATAAAAGATTAATGACTTCATCCATATAAGCAACTGAGAACTATAGCGAAATAAGTAGAAAATATTGAATGCATCAATTATGTTGAGTCACGAGTCATCCTTGAAGATTTCGAATATCTTTTTTTTCTTTGTGAGGAGATATGCGCACAGCAAGTACGTACGCAAGCATTGAACCAATTAAAATGGACTTCTGTTGCCTAGGTAACCGTACCATATGCTGCTGACGTCAAAGCACGTCTGCAGTGACGTCAGAAGCGCAACACGAGTAGCTATGTTTACAGAAAAATTGAACTTGAATTATAGTCCTATTCGATACGTTTGTTCGTCAATGAGGAAACAAAGACTGCTTTTGCTATTTTACTTCAAGCAATAAAGAAAAAATCTATTAAATTACTTAAATCGAATATAATAACATATTAACGAAAACGTTATAATAAAAACTATGTAGATTTCATAAAAAGATTATAAATATATTTATGATTGAAGCTAAAGTTACAAGCAGTATAATACAGTAATATTATTCTAAGGTAATTAAAAAGCTTTATTTGTTTTATTGCAAAGTCCTATTTCAACGTTTTGATAATCAATTTCTTTAATTCAATGTGTAAGCTAAAAAAAATTTGTAACCTATTTTGAATACACAATAATATGAAATAGACGTTTGAAAATATCGGAAAGAGGAAAAAGTAAGGGATATTACTGTGGAAAGAATGCAAAGAAATTATACAAGTAAACAGGTAGAATTTAAACAGAGGAAGAGGAAGAAAATCAGTGGGACGGGGCGGAAGGTTGTACGCAGAAGCTGGCAGCACCGGCGCTTCAAGAAACATAGCCCCGCACCTCTGCTCGCGGTCCTGCAACGCTTGTGCCAGTTTTCTTTCGCAAGGGCTCCAGAGAAGAAGCAGAGGGGGGAGTACGCAGGAGGACGAAACAAAAGAATTTTGTACCCGATTTCGGGACCAACTGTGTTTGAAAGGAACAACAGAAACTGTTGCGCGACGTAATCGTGGGAATTCAATGGCTGAAAAATCAGGAAACACAGCATGGTGTGAAGACGCGCATCGGGAAATTGGTTCGATTTGGCGGACATAAGAAGAAAGAAGGAGGTAGGAGAGAGGTGTATAGAGGAAAGAAGAAGAAAAGAGGTGCGTGAGGACGCGTCGTGTTTCGTCGCCGTGTAGTGAGAGGTGAGGCGACGGCGGCGTGGTGAAAGCTCGAACTAGAGAAAAATTCGGCGGTAACCGGTAGCACCAAAGCTACCAAGGTGTTCCGAAGTGCAGCAGCAGCGGCCCAGGATGCTGCCCGACGGAGCAAGAAGATGGCCGTGATCGGCAAGCAGAGGTATTACACGGCAGTCCGTGCAAACGCATACACGGAGTTTTTGTGTCGTAGATTTGAGACAGCGACAACTACGTCGCTGTCCTTCTCGTCCTCGACGTTATCTTACCGTCATCGTCGACAGAGAAAAAAGTTACACTCTGTACATTTAGCTATGTCCTCTTCACGAGGCAGCGGCCCGGAATCGGGAGAACTCAGCGATTCCGAAGATGGTTATTTAGATACAGATCCATTGAGGTATGAGCTGAGAAATATACAAAATGTGATACATGTTACTCGACAAAATATTGATACTCTGAATAACCGCTTTGCTGGATTTCAACATCCACCTTCAATATATTTAAATGAATATCAAGAATTAACTAATAAGTTGCATGATTTAGAATCTAAGGAACAGAAGCTCAATGAATTGTTGAATGCTGGTCGAGTATCCGGTAGTACTTCCACATCAGAGAGCGAATCTCGTGATGCTAATGCATCTGCTAGAGGTCAAAGAACGCCAATGAAATCTCTGCTCAGGGCATATTTACCTAATCAGCAGCGTACGAGTGTACAGGTTCGTGAAGGACTTTCGTTAAGAGATGCACTTGCCAAAGCAATGAAATTAAGGAATTTGACTACAGAAATGTGTGTGGTATATATTTTGGGTGCAGACAACACCAAATATCTTACTTCTTGGGACACAGACATCTCGTTGCTTGATTGCGATGAAATATCTGTGGAAATTTCGGATAAGTTTCCAATAACTACTTCCATTTCTCATAACTTTGTGCGCAAGACTTTCCTCACTCTAGCATTTTGTGAATGTTGTAGAAAACTCCTTTTTCAGGGATTTTATTGTAGAACATGCAATTATCGGTTTCATCAAAGATGTACTGGTGGTGTACCTGCTTTGTGCCATCAAGTACGTATGCAAGATGCTTATTACCAAGCACTGCTAGCACATAACCTTGAAAGTACTGCTGGGATATTGCAACTTCCTTCTGGCTATGGAGTAAGCAGAAGTATGTCCCCATCTTTAGCTCCATCAAGAAATCAAAGGCATCCACGTTCTTTGGGACAACAAGATCGTTCAAGTTCTGCACCTAATGTTTGTTTCAATATGGTAAAACCAAGTGGAGAATCTGCTAATTTAGACGAATATAGTAGATCTCAAAGTTTAGGTCGCCCTATTGGTATCACACAAAGTGCAGTATCACCTGGTAGTAGCCCAACGAAACATAGTCAATCAACACAGGCTAGTCCCACTAGTACTTTAAGGCCAAAAAGACCAAGAGCAAGATCAGCTGATGAATCGTCTAAAAATCTCTTAGCACCTAGAGAATCCATAGAAGATTGGGAAATACCAGCAGATGAAATCTTAATAGGTGCTCGTATTGGATCAGGTTCCTTTGGAACAGTGTACAAAGCACATTGGCATGGTCCTGTAGCTGTAAAGACACTCAACGTTAAAATACCCACTGCTGCTCAGTTACAAGCATTTAAAAATGAAGTTGCAGTTCTACGTAAAACACGACACGTAAATATTCTTTTATTTATGGGATGCGTCAGCAAACCAAAATTGGCAATTGTTACTCAATGGTGTGAAGGTTCTTCGCTATATAAACATTTACATATATTTGAGACAAAGTTTGATCTATTCACATTGATAGAAATTGGAAGACAAACTGCACAGGGAATGGATTATTTGCATGCAAAAAATATCATTCATCGGGATTTAAAGAGTAACAATATATTTTTGCACGATGACCTCACGGTAAAAATTGGAGACTTTGGCTTGGCTACAGCAAAAACAAGATGGTCTGGTTCTCAACAATTCCATCAACCAACTGGATCTATTCTCTGGATGGCACCAGAAGTCATAAGAATGCAAGAAGAAAATCCATACAGCTTTCAGTCCGATGTTTACGCATTCGGCGTTGTTTTATTTGAATTATTATCTGGTCAGTTACCATATTCGCATATTAATAACAAGGATCAGATATTGTTTATGGTTGGACGTGGAAACTTACATCCAGATTTAAATAAATTGCGTTCAGATACTCCGAAGGCACTGAAGAGACTGACAGAGGATTGCATTAAATTTTCCAGAGAAGAAAGACCGATATTTCGTCAAATTTTAGCTAATTTAGAAGGTCTTTCACGAGGATTACCTAAAATAACGAGATCGGCATCTGAACCAAACTTAAACAGGACGCAGCTACAATCAGATGATTTTGTATACACTTGTGCTTCGCCAAAAACTCCAGTGAACTTCCAGTTTGGAGCATTTTCCTTTTATCCTTCTGGTGGAAACATATAAAATTATCACCCAAAGTAACGAGTCTGATGCAATTTACATAAAATTAAATATTTAAAAAATTTACAAAGAAATCGTAATAAACTTAGCTATGAACAATCTACGCGATTCTTTTCAACTACACTTTGACTGTGTTGCAACTGTTCGCTCGATGTAGAATGTGATTATACAATACTTAATGCAACTAAGACAAAAAAAAAAAGTAAGGACAGAAATCCATCTTATTAATTGACGTATCCGATGTATTTCATGGCAAGAATGCATATGTAGCTTTCACCTTTACATACTTACTATCTGTGAGAGGGACTTTTATTTAACGAGTTATCGCTCGTGCATGGACGCATATTCATAAACATGTGTATACACGTACGAACGAGTTCACGTGCACGCGTGTTGGTGTAGAGGTCTGTTACTTTTGTGGAATCCTTATGAAGGATGTAAAAATAAAGTAAGTAATAGAAGTAACGGCATTTAAATTCGCGTGGGCCGTCATTTGTCTGTGAAGTATTTTTGCAAACGCCGAAGTGATTTTTGTACCTACTTCCTCCATGTATTGTCTTCAATATGCTCATATAAGAATTGTTCCTTTTCATAATTTATAATTTATAGTTTAATGTTAGACTGTATATAAGTTTTATTAAAATTATCTAAAATTTGCGTATATTGTTTTTAAAAGCGAAATATAGACACTTTGAACTCAGACTAATTAGATATTCTGTATTTTTACGAGATAAATTCTTTTGGTACAACGAAACCGAAAGGTTGTACTGTATTAAAAAATTATAAACCAAATTGAAAGTGAAACAAAAAGTGATAGATATACTTGGCCTTTACTTTAAGACTTCATCGATATTATATAATATAACAAACTTCACGAGTCGTTCTGGCTTGATTTCGACAATGATGATTTTGACGAATTGAGGCCTAAAATCATTTAAGCTTTCATCAATGGTAAAAAGAGGAAGTAATATCGTATTGTAACTTAGATTAAAAAAGTTATCGACTAACTTCCATTTTTTTCCTAACTTTGTAGTCGACTGTTGTTCCTTGCATTTTAATATTTATTAATTTTTATGGTTACTTTTTTTTATAAGTTCTTTTCCACTGTATTTGAGGCTCATAATGCAGGAAGGGGCGCGAACTTCACTTCGAAGTGATGAATTCGTAAAGTATTTATTACATAGTATCGAAGACTTGAATTCTACGAGATAATGGAAACTTTTGTTACGACTAAACGTGTTTCAGATAATGGTCCGATGAACAGTAAATAAGTATCTAGGGGAAATCTATGGGGACTACGAGTATAAACAGCGAAAAAGACGGTAGAATGAACTTTCCGATTTGTGCGTTGTGTATTTTAGGGGGCGCACACTAGTGACAAATTAGTGAAACTTTATTCGATGGGCGTCTGAAGCGCTCTTATGCGATCAATGATAAACCATACTGACTACGTAACATTTACATCATTGATTCGCGGGTGTATCCTAAAATTTAACATCGACGCAGCACTCGTAAAACCGTGACACGTTTCTGAAGCATATAAAAGGCCTAAGAGCAGATCATTGAAATTTCATTAGCTAGAACGAGTGGTCTTGTTTCTGAAGCACGTGGTATCCCGATTTATTATTTATTTATTTATGTATAATCCAAGCGTGATGAACTGAAATTAAAAAGCAAAAAAAGAAAAAAGAGGTAAAAAAACTAATAAATAAGTGCCGGATTTTAAAATTCTGTCAAGAGTGCGTGATTGCCGAAGAACAGTGAAAATATGATTCGTAGAAGGGAAAACGTGTTCGAATGTGCAAGAGAGAAAGAGGGAACGTGCGCGCGAGGGAGAGAGAGGGACGGCGCGGCAGTAGATAGAGAGAGTGTGTGCGTGCGTGCGTGTGCGTGTGTGCGTGCGTGCGTGTGCGTGTGTGCGTGTGTAAACCGACGAAGAGGGCAAAACGAAAAAGAAAAATACCGTTGGACACGTTCGCCGGAACGGAGGAACGCACTTGTCATTGTTAATGACGCTTTCTCGTAACTGGAAAATAGTTAACCGTGAAACATAATTAACAATGTTACAAAAATATTACTAAAAGGAAAAAAATATGAAAGGAGGATGTTGTGCAAGGTGCGGGGGGATAGCTCTTTTTTATGGTTTTCCGAGATTCTTTTATAGTGCAATTTTCTAGACATGGTAAAGCCTTTACGAGATGCGATTAGATGCTCCATGATGTACAATGATTACGCTGTATAATATAGAATTGAAAAACTTGTTTCTGCATTTTTTACTTGCGTTTACATTTTACACCATTTTGTTCTCGTGGTACGATACAGCTGGAATTTTATAGGCCGTGTTCTCTCTTGGATTTTGGTGGAGTATGTTAACCCTTAGCTAACGATTTGAAATATTCCTTCTTTTCGTACACGTTTTAAGAATGACACTTTTATTTATTACAGAGAATAGGAAGATAGCACGACTAAGGAGTTTATTTCAATATGCGTAACGACATGAGCGAAAGATGCGAAATACATATAAAGGCAAGAGAAAGCGAGCGATAAAATTTGTGACCCTCGCGCTGTGCGTCCTCCTTAATCAATCTTCCTATATGTCATTATCAAATTTTAGAATATTATTTTCTCGGAAGACATTCCTCTGTACATTGTTTTAATGTATATTGTATATGTAGAAGGGTTTGTATGCGATTGTAAATGATAAAACATATTCTTTCTGTCGACCTGATCACCGAGAAACATATTATTACATTGTGAGTTAAAGAGTTAAAGAGAGTTGGCTCTTCGAGGCGTAGAATCAAATTGGAAATGGCGGAAACGACAAGTGAAACTGGCTTAAGAAGATTCGAAAGAACGATTTAGTTTAGTTTATCTAGCGTTTGCAAAAAATAGAAAAGGAAAAAACTAAAAAAGAAAAAAAAATGGGATAGTTTTTGATCTACGATTCTTCTTAGAGTTAACTTGTACACGTCGATGAAACTGGTAATTTTGATAGGCCCAAGAAATTAACGAAATCATTTTCGAACAAAGTGGAATATATCACTGCAGGAGATATAAGTCTTATATTACATCGGCATTGTTAATCATTGTTACGTATAAGCGAACCATCGAACACCGAATTTGCTTTCTTCGAATTCTGCCACGGATTTCAACTAGGTTTGACACGAAAAAGCGATCGGATGAGAGATTTTTCGTTTGATCGACAGACGTCGCATCGCACGGATCGTAATAGGATTTCAGCTTCGTTTTGGTCAAATTACGCTGAAACTGCTGTCGAGTGAAATGCGTGTCTTGTAACGAGATAGCGTGGCTGAGATTGGAGATACTTAATGCAATCAATCGCGACGATCGATTGATCATTGTATTCTACGCAAAAAAAAAGAAAAAAAAAAATGAAAAAAAGAAAAGAAGCAAAAATAAAAAATTGATTCTTCATGTAATAAGTCTCGTTCTTCTTCTAAGGGAATTTCAACATACTTCATCGATTACACTAAGATATTGACGTTGAAAGAAATATACTATTGATAAAACTTACAGGCTGTTCATGGATACAAAAAACCATTCGCAGTCTTTATCATTGTTTCTTGCATGGAAGTTGAGAAGCGACCAATAATGACAGTTCATCGTATCAGTATTATCCTATGTATTCTCAATCGAATACAATACGAGTGATAATTTTGTATGATCGAGAATTTCAAATAATGTGCAGTTTACTTCAATTCGCGTGATACTTGCATTAGAAGACGATCAGGCGTGTTATTTATTTCGTTTGGAGTTATACGCTTTCCGATATAGCAAATAGATGTACTCACTGATCGACGTTAATGCTATTATCTGAAAACATAATCGAGGTTAGTAAAAACTCGAAAATTTGTCGTCATCGAAATTGCATTTTATCATCAATGATGATTATATAAATAAACATTAAATGTTATCGATCGAATCAAAATGCAATTTTATTTCAAGGATCACTTAAAAGAAAACAATGAGTACCACTGCCCTAGATATGCTCTTCTATGTAGTGTAGCGTATATGGTGATCTTTGAAAAGCAATACGTAAGTACCATGTAATTGCATTCGAATCAAATATCGCGTTAAGTTTAAACAACTGTGGATTAGCATTTGAAACAATGGTACTATGTACATAATTTATCCGAGGAGTTGTGAATTTATTGAAATCCATTGCAAATGAATCTTTTCTCGGTAATCATTTCGAATAAAATTGCGTAAGTATGAACCAGCTGTCTTCTTCCCAACGTTTCTGTTCCATTATTTTAAGTTAATATTTTAATGTAAGTATACATTTATATATTTGTGAAAATAAAATATTTCTGTGTAATTTTATGAAATAGGTGTACCATATTAGATCAATTATTAGAATAATTAACAATTATTTGATTTGATATTTCTATTTTTCGTTTCGTACAACAGTCTTAGAATGTCTAAATATGATTTAATCCGGCAGGTACACGTGTACCACGACGACAATGGCAGCTTCTAAATGCAATCACGAAAACCAAGAATCCCTGTTGGAAGGTCGTGACATCGCGAGGTTCCAGTAATCCTCTTCCCTTCACTCCTCACTTGTTAATTTAATCCACGAACAATATTTACAATATTCGTAAGATAGAATCTAATTTCTGATCTTAATAATATAATTAAAAATAAAATTAAAGTAATTCGATCGATCGATAGAATTGAACAGACACGTGACGATGTATCGATAGTCTTATATCGATATATGTATAGTGCGGTATTTATCTGCTATCGTTACGTATATTATATCATGTTCGTTTTTAACTAAAATTTACGATGACAAACGGTGCTGAAATTCGCTTTTCATAAAGATATTCTTATGCTAAGAATGATCTAGACTTTGTGTGGGTGAGCGCACCCTACAAAGGAATACGATCAGTTCATATATAAAACGTGTGCAGATGCACGTTGTGCATGTAATAAAAGGTGATAGTGTTGGTGAATACACTTACGAGCGAGCACGCATGCACGTAGAGGTTAGAATCAACGATGCTAGTGCGTGAGTACTCGTTCCGTGTGTTGAATGTATGTGGGATATTACGGAGGGAGCGCGCATGCGCAAATCCAGCTGGCGCCTCGACCGGCTGAATAGTCGATGCTGGAACTTCGTAGTGCAAGTGTCTGTGTTTCTTCGTTCTTTACGTTTTGTCATCGTACATTGGTACGCAAATTATATTCGCGTACATACACGTATATACGAGTTACAGAATAAGTGAAGAATCTCATTTATATACGATCGACGTGAACAGGTGGACATCGAGGTCGATCGCTTTGCTGCGTGAAACGAGGTTAGTTGACTTCGAATCGAATTTCGGGTAATGTCGTTCCAAAGGGGAACGACATTGCGTGGATATTTGCTTTGAAGAAACGACCCTTGTGTTTTTCTATACCGCGTTCCGTATGAGTGTCCACATGTGACAATAGCCCCCAAAAAAACCGAGGATAACCTACGTTTACCTCTCATTTTTCTCATATGATATTTCAACGCGATGTATCAGTCAAAAATAGTATCACTTGTTCGATTGATCGAAGTTTATTCGAGTTCTTTGTGAATCCAGTAAATCTTTCATTTTTCTAATATTCTTCGAATATGATTCTCGTGGTGCATAGTTTAAAAAAGGTGGTGTATTTCTATGCTGAACAGAAACCGAATATTGGTGCAAAGCATTTATACATTGACAGATTGTTCGACCAAATATTGTTTCGATTTATCGTACTTTCGGTAAGCAGTGAATTCTTTTTCGTTCAAATATCTTTCTCACGCGAATAACTTAACGAATTCGAAAAAACGTGCTCGCAAGAAAATTGATGACGATCGATTATCCAGCGACATAATTGCAATAACACGGAATTCGATTAATCGAAGTCAGTCGATACGTCCTATTTAGGACGTTATTCACCAAATAGGGAACGTTGCAGTAGCATAATACACTATTAATTAATCTCGTTGGAGCGAAGAATCGAACGAAACGACATTGACCGAGAAATTGGAAAGCAATCGTCGCGTATAAATCGAACGGTGTGAAATATCGTGCGTTGATTCGATTATCGATACACAAAAACATGCTTTCTTCCCGTAATCATTGCGAAGTGTGCAGCCATTGCATATCGCGTCGTTACTTTCCTTTCATCGTTTGAATTTCGAATTTTCCATCGTTTGCTGTACGACCCGAAACGTTCGCGTGGTCGAACAACTATATACTATACACTCAATGATAATGAGCGTACTTCACGGTAGCAACAAGTAATTCGATATCATTCGAGATACACGAAAAATTGTGATCCTTCGAAGAAAAGTGATCGTACCGCGCGTTTTGAATTTATCTATGGCAGATAGCACGATATTGCTGTGACGATGCACAAATTTCACACTAGCGGCTTTTTCGTGTGTCGTTCCATTCTTAGACGCGCGTGTATGCGGACACTTGAAAGCTGGAGCACAACAGATATCGTGCCAAAGTTAATATCGATCGTTCGAGTTTTATAATTCGTTAGGGCGTCCGGTGTTACGTAAAAATTACCTCTTTTAAAATTCGAATCACTTTATAAACCGATTGATCCTAGAACTGTATTTTGGACGATATTTGACTATATTTAAATAGAAAAATGCAGCGTTTTCGACGTAGAAAAAGAAATCATGGCTCGACTACGTTTTTCTTTCGAGTTAACGGCCAAACAGTATTCGCTTTTTATTTTTCTCGCAGCAGCTAGTTAAGCTTATCGGTAAACGCATTAAACGAGTATATAATTATTCGCGTTTATAGCGCACGTTCCCACCGTTAGAATAGCAACGTCCTAACTGCCGTCTTATTTTGTTTCTTTTCAGCCCCGAAACCGATGATCGAATTTTCGTAGCAGACCGCAAAAGACATTCACCTCGGAAGGATAAGGAGGGAGAAGGCTGAGGGTTTCGAACAAATTCTCGTCCCTCTGGTGGCCCTGCTCCAGTCAGCTTCGTCTCTGGTACAAGCAGCATCGAGTCTGTCCATTGCCATTAATCTTCTTCCGTTTTTCCAAGAATTATTCTATGTGCTTGTCTGTTGACCTCTGGCGAGCAACATTCGTCGCTGGAGAAACTGGAACACCCGTTGCCCATAAACAGCGTGGTCTCGAGACCTTGCCAGCTCGTCCTTGTAACCGAAACATGTGCCAGCCACGCTCTTAAACCACCTATCGTCCAAGTATCATCCCTGTGCTTCTCGCGGTCGAAGGTGGCCGCAGGGTAGCGAGTCTTCTTTCGCGTAGCTCGATCGTACGATGGAGAAGAGGGCTTGTTCGAACAGCGGATCGAACTGGATGAATCGGTAAAGTCGATCGTGGTATCGTTTTCCGGCCGACAAGTCCGTCCTGGAGGATAACAACGACGAGCGAACGAATGTGTAGAGTAACAGCGAGGGAGAATGCTCGGCTGGCAGCTTTGGACATGGGATAGATGATAGATCGCGAATGATGGGGTGGTAAAGCGAACAGGAAGCGCAAAATGGATTGGGTGCCTCGGCTCAGGTAGCCAGAGACGACAAAGTCGCGGGCGCCAGGGCGGACGAGCCCCGAGCAAGCTGTTCCTTCTTTCCGTGTATCGTTCTTTCCAAGAACAAGACGAATTCTCGTATGGACATCGTTCGTTTTTCCGAAAGACTGTTTTTCCTTTTATGCCGTCTGGTGATAGACGTCGTGCAAAAAGACTGAACGTGATAATCAATAATCAATCGAGGAATTAGTCCGCGCGCTTTATCGTCGATGAAACGTATCGGGAGAGAAGAAGGAATCGATTAATCTACGTAACAGATCCCGGTGGATTTGTTCCAACAGGAAGAAGAAGAAGAAGAAGAAGAAGAAGAAGAAGAAGAAGAGGAAGAAGAAGGTCGATACGAATTTACTCGCGATCTCCGATCTAACGGAACGCACGCGTCTGACTCACGAAAAGACTGAACACGTTGATTCATTTGTCGAAAAAATGTCCTCACACCGCGTTCTTTAGAATTCTGGCTTTCATTTCTTGCGCCATACATACATATCTCTCGGGATCTCACGTAATTGTCACACATACATATACGTATACGCATACACGCATAGCTTGTCACTCCAGTTATACGAGCTTTGAGAAATTTCTGACAAACGTATATACAAAGCGTCGTACGCGAGTCGTAACGCGTATTTTCGATTATTATACATATTGCAAATATATCGCGTATATATATATACATATATACATACACACGTAGGAACAGAATATACATATTCTGTATGTAATATATCTATGTACATGTAAAGAAACTTTTTCGCTGCCTAATACAAATATTTGTGGATAAAGTGTCGCGTACGATACGGTAAAAAGAAAGTCCCGTATTTTGGACAATTTCGCAAACCGTCTCGATATATCTATCCTTTTTTCTATGAAGATAATACTTCCGTGTTAGAAAGACGTTTAGCTTCGGGGAAGAAATGTCTGTTCGTTCTTCGTTTCCCTAACGAAACTCGTGTCGGGAATATAATTAACGGCGTGCAACGAAAAACTGAAGAAGAAAAGTAATCGGAGTCAGTGAAAAGTGCAGTAGTGTGATCGCAGCGCGGGACCGTAAAAGAGCAGGATGGGTTGTGGACAGAGCAAGATCGGTAACATCTATCCTAAAAACAAGAAAAATAAAAACAACGCTGGCAAGAAAAACGGAGATTCGATTGGTGAGTTATCAGCTATTCGATAATTACTTTTAATTTCAAACAAAATCCGGCAAGGCAATGAATCCGAGGCAGTGAATTATTTCACGTAAACTGTCTTATTGCCGGTGTATCGAGTGACTAATTAATCTTTTTTTTAATCTCTTTCCTTTTTTTTAGCGTTTGAACGATTGTGGTCCAATACGTTGTACGAGTGGTATCGTTGATCGAAAGCTTAGGTAGTCCACGATGTAAATATGTAATAGCCGATTCGACGAGGTCCCTTTGCCGCTTGACAAACGTGGGCGAGATCGGCATTGTTCGCGTAATTAACGTCGTTTCTCGTCAATCCAGGCCTGCCGCGTAATTGTTGACCCGATGACTGTAATTAAACAGATGCGTCTCAATCTAGGCCATCGACACCCATCGCGAGAGTTCCTTCCCGATGAAAGGTGATTGAACAGTTGCCTCTATTACGCTGGCGCTTTTCTTCGCAGTGGAACAATCTGTTTTTCCTACGAAAAGGACGAGTCAATCGAATCAGATGCTACGATTGAATCATATATTCTCCGGTCTTTACATTTTGGGATGGCAGACGCACTTAGGACTATCTGATTGACCTGCCACGCAATGTCACTCGAGGTTACGAATGCACTGTAAGAAACTCATAGTCGAGTCTCGTCAATAAGATCAAGGTCGAAGTCTGTGTATCTAGCGTAAAGAGAATATGGTTGAGAAATAAAAATGATCTTGACATGTCCTTGTTGCCATCATCTGTCAGATATCGTTTTCTGGGAAACTTTAACGATCCAGCCGTTCGTTAACATACGTAATATAGTCATTCTGGAACAGACGATAGTCCCTTTGAAAATAAACTTTCGGTCAGCCGTTTATCGTGAACGACGAGGGAAAAGCTTTTCACCGACGTGCGTGACAATCGAAGATAAATTGGCGAGCCTCCAGTTTAAAATTACGTTCCAGAACAGGTGGAACGTAACCGCGGATCGTTGCAGAGTAGACGTCCATATTTAGATTTCGCGGATCCGTCTCGAGGCTAAGTCGCAATTCTCGTTGTATAATTACTATGCTAGTAGTTTCTCGTTTCTATTTGTCTTTAATATAACGCATCGAGGTTCTTACGAGAGATTCCTATCTAGCATGCGTATGTGTCGAATGTTCGCTCGGTTGGAATATTAAACTTCTTTCCATTAAAACCAGCGAATACCTCTTCCGTTAAATCTTACAGCAAGTTTACACCATTATCTTTTATGTCATTCGGCTTAGTGACAGTCGTTGACTCATACCCCAAGCTAGAGAAGGTGCAACTGATCTTTTTCTCAAATTTAAACAGTAATGTAGTTTATCGTTATAGAGATATTCTGTGTTTCTTGCCCGCAATCGGTTGAATAAAATAGATAAGGCTCCACGAGGATGCTTCCGAACAGGAAATGATAACTGATAACGTTAAGAAATTTATCCTATAGACACATTTCATTTCTGCAATTTCACATGCTTCCTGTTTTTTTTTTTTTTTATTATTATTATTATTCGTCAACTTCCTGATAACGTTTTCGAGAATGCAAATGTTACGATTCATCAATGGATTATTCTTGACATTCGTTTCGGTGACGAGTGAATGTACCAGTAACTAGAGGTAACGTTACAGATTGCAGAGGACGTATGATCAAACTCGTTATCGTAAAATTTTATGTTAGAATTATAATAAGAGCTCAATAGAGCGGCAACAAGTACGCGGTGTGCGTGGCCACGCACACGTACGCACGCGTGCGGGAACGATCGATTTCGTTCTTAACGTACATCACTTGAGGTAGATTAGGCTCTGGGTTAGGTCGTGCAAAAGGGGAGCGTAACCTTCTGAACAGCAAATTGACATTCAACAACCCTGTTCTATCGTTGTTCGCACGCCTGTTGTTTTATCCATTAAAAACGACCTGTTTGATAAGCGCCGGATATGTTTTGTTACCGACACAGTTTTCGTTCATTTGCGAAAAATCACTGTCTTTCATCCTTTTATCACCGTCCCGTTGTTAGAACCGATTCTGCGTTTCTGTTCGCGATAATCGAATATGCAAACAATACAGAGTCTATTTCGAGCTGTGTTTGCCGTCCCAATTTCACTGGCAATAAATTATCAACAACGATTAAGTAGAGATAGATTTTCTAATTTGTGAACTCACGCGACCTAGATTCACAGGCTTAAATGACTCTCGTGTTTTCGCTTTCTTTGGGCGGTTTTCAAATGAGTTTACTCCCATCTATTTTTTCTTTTCTTTCTTCTTTATTTCGCTGATCATTAGCGGCTTGTTAAGAAGGAAAAAAAAGAAGAAGCAAAGAAAACAAATCGGTGAACCATGTGTCTTGAAATCGCATGTCAGATCGTGGTTTGTTGTTTACCGGCTTCGACGTCTGCGAGCTAAATATACCATGCGATAATTCTGATATTTATATCATTACGATGGCTTCGCTTACGGTACTTTGAAACTCTGCTATTTAATTCATGTATGCACCAAGATTATGTATTTTTAGTGGCTCGTTTATGCAATGGCTTAAATAATAATCAAATCGCAATTGACGATCGCGTTCGGTATAACCTTAAAATAAAAAGGAAGAAAGAAAAAAAGAAAACAGCAGAAGATTTACGCTGAAATATATCTGTTATATGGTAATAAAAATTTTGCTGAAAGTAAATTAAATATATCTCGTTGAAATTGTTTGTAGAGAGAAAATCAGTGATAAAATTATATTTTTTATCGATTATTGACTATATGGAACATTTTCAAAAATGTAAGCAGATAGCTAATACTTCGATATTTATTGCATCTTATCTGTAGTTATTACAAATATGTTATGCCAAGAATATTTGTAAATACTTTTGTCATTGTTATTTACAGAATCGTAAATACGTTTGGGAATATATATATATATATATATGCACGCTACTACCAGAATTAGTTATATCGTCTGCTGTAGTATGAAATATGTGCATACATTGTACGTTATGCATAAATATATCGATATAATTCGAAATATAAAAAGGTTGTTCATTAAAATATCGAATTATAGCCAACTATGTGACGTTTTAAATTTAGAATATCATATTTTGCGTATGAAACGCGGTATTAGAATTTTCAATTTTCCCTAACCGCTAAATGTTGCGCGCGCACTTCGTTGCCACTTTGCACTGTTCACAGCGTTGCCATCGTTTAAGCGGGAGCGTATGCCGCCAAACGGTCAAAGTGCTTGTTGTGCATCCAGACGTTCGGTTCGTGTTCATATCTTGGAGTGAGTCGCGTGTCCGAGTTTGATTCCTATAGTGTTTGGCCGGCGTTTCGTCAAAATACGCAAGAGCCGACACGTCTTTACTTGGTAAACAAGACAAGTTCCAAGGCCTGAAGCCGATATTATCGCTCTTGGTAGTAGAGCAGCTAACGACTTGCCTACGTGATCGTTGTCCCGCCTATAAAAGGGTCGCGCCTCTCTAGCATCAGTGTCTGTCGCTCGTAGCAATTTCGTGTGAGAGCATTGTTCGTTTCTACTATTGATAATATTGTTCCAGAGTACTCTTTGTTATTTATATCTAACGTTTATCGATCGTTATTAGTCACGACTTTATCGGTACACGCGAGATTATAAATATCGCAAAAGTGAGGTTAAGTAACCGGCACGCAAGAAGACACCGTCAGTCGGTGACGGTGAATCGTTTTTATTCTGCGTCGAATCATCGGAGCCGACATTTCATTTGGGGTGGAGGATCTCCGTCCTAGCAGGACGTCGGATTTGGAGAGTAAACAGAAGGGAGCGAAAATGTGGCTAAAAGTGCTCAGGCAAAATATATCGCATCTTGCCCGTAGGGCGAAAGGTAAGGTTACGTTTGTTCTTTGAAATCGGAGCTCGGGGGAAACGAAACGGTTGCTGCTACGAAAAGAATAGCTATTTATAGATTTATGATACTCGGAATTAGATGATTCAAGTTGACAGATTTAAGTTCTTTCTAACTACTTTATGATCGACGATGAATGCAATTACATAGTTTAAGCGGAGTACGTATTCACGTATAACCCTGGCGCGGGTAATACTATCCTCGAATTAGGCTGCATTCTAATTTAAGCTCGTCTCGCATTTCGCGGTCTTTCGGAGAAGAGAATTGTGGAATGCACGGTGACGATGCTGTTGCAGCTGCATGACTCACAGCTGGT